TATATATATATATATGTATATGCATACACACACACACACATACATATATATATATATATATATGCACATGCATATATGCATAATAAACAAAGAAGACACACTCAACAACAGTTATAGTTCTCATTTGTAAAACTGGTCATGTGGTCATAGCTGGTATTTAGAACTACCTTCTTCCACCACCCATTCCAAATTTCCTCTCAGCCATCACCTCAGCTGGTCATGATTCTTTCTCTGGTGGAGGGACTCAAACCTTCATTCCTGAAGGGTTTGGGCCATTGGTAGTCATGTTGGAATTGAGTTGCTGTAGTCTTCCATTGACTTTAATCACAGGGCATGGCAGTACTAGGAGACACCTTAGAGAATCTCCTACATTCCAGATATACTTTTTTTCTACCTCCATCATGTAATATTAATCCAATTTCCCCTTGGTAATCAGGGTCAGTCACACAAGCCAATATGATAATTTCTTTTTTTTCTTAAATATTTTATTTTGATTTGGTTAAAATTTACAGAGCAAGTTGGTTTTCTATCCAACAATCCATACACATTTTGTTTTGTGCCATGGATTGCAATACCCACAAAGTAATTTCATCCCTATTTTTCTCATTTCCATTCATCTTTCTTTCCTATCCCTTCCTGTCTTCTGAGCTTCATTCTTGGGTCCTTTTGATCTCATACAGTTAATTATTCTAAAGATTGTGTACCTTCTTGGTGCTATTGTTTACCTTATAGGTCTGTCTATCATTTAGCTGAAAGTTGAGTCACAGTGGTGAGTTCAGTTCCAGGCTTGAAGTGTGTTTATTGGCCACAGTCTTGGTGGTTCCACTAGTCTCTATCAGACCAATAAGTGTAGTCATTTCTATGATTTTGAGCTTTGTTCCATGTTTTTCTCCCACTTTATCCAGGACCTCCTATTGTGATCCTTTTCTGAGAGATCAACAATGGTACCTAGGGACCATCTAGTTTATTTTGTGTCAGGATCATAAAGACTGCAGTTTACGTGGTAACTTCCTTCTTTGCCTGTTGATCCAGAGGCATGAAGAACACAAAGTGGCCAGGTGACATTCTTAACTTGCAGTTCAATGGAATCAGTGTTGTGTTTCCATGTGAGAACATTCCTCTCTTTGGAACTAAGACCTCTAGACCCACAGAGCATAGAGTCATGGGACTAGGAAGCAAAAATTTTGCAAGTGGGTCACTAGGAGTAATAGCAAGTGGTGCCATTCCAATTTCCACCCCTTGATTTCTGGGCCCATGAATCCTGGCTTGGGAGAAATAGCAACATATATTTGCCACTGGTTCAGAGCATACATAGCCTCCTGAAGAACATTGTCCCAACCCAGTGAGATATTTCCATCTAGCTGGCACCAAAATTGTGTCTTTAGAAGGTCATTCCATTATTCTATCCAGGCAGCTACTTCAGGATGATGGACAACATGGTATGACCATTGAAATCCATGAGTATGGGCCCAGTGCCATAATTCATTTGCTGTGAAGTGTGTCTCTTGATCTGATAAAATGCTGTGTGGTATACTATGATGGTGAGTAAGGCATTCTGTAAGTCTACGGATGATAATTTTGGTAGAAGCATTAAGTGTAGGGAAGGCAAATCTGTATCCAGAGTAAGTTCCTATGCCAGTAAGAACAAAATACTATCTTTGCATGATGGAAGCTGTCCAGTGTAATCAGCCTGTCACCAAATTGCTGTCTGATCACCCTGAGAAATGATGCCATATCAGCAACTCAGTGTTGCTTTCTGCTGCTAGCAGATTAGGTACTCAGCATTGGCTGTAGCAACATCATCCTTGATGAGTAGAAATCCAAACTTTTGAGCCCATGCATAACCTCCATCCCTGCCCCCATGGCCATTTTGTTCATGAGCTTGTTGGGCAATGATAGGAGTATCCAGGGAAAAAGGATGACTAATTTCTGTAGACCCTGTCATCCTATACTCTTGATTGTTAAAATCTTCCTCTGTCTAGATAACTCTGTTGAACATTCACATTAGACACAAATACTTTCACTTCTTTGGCCCATTCAGAGAGGTCTTTCCACATGCCTCTTCTCCATACCTCTTTGACACCAATTTTCTAATCATGTTCCTTCCAAGTCTCTGACCGTACAGCCAAAACATTGACCACAGTCCATGAATCGGTATACAGTCACAATCTGGCCATCTCCTTCCAAGCAAAGTAAAGGTGATGGCTCATAGTCCTGCCCATTGGAAGGATTTCCATTCACAATTGTCCTTTAGGAAGGTCCCAGAAAGAGGCTATAGTGCTGCCACTGTCCACTTTCAACTGGTGTCTGCCTATTGCACAGAATCATCTGTAAACCAGGCTTGAGTTTTCTCTTCCTCAGTTAGTTGATCATAAGGAACTCTCCATGAGGCCATAGGTGCAGAATGGGAGAGGGAAAGTAATGTGAGAGAAGTGGAGATCATATGCTTTTTGAGCACTTCGTCATGTAACTTATTTGTGCCCTCAGGTCCAACTGAGTCTGATCTCGTATATATCACTTCTATTTAATGATGGAGTGCTGCTGTGCATGTCCAACTTTATGTCTCTGTGGGTCAGACAACACCTAGTTTATTATGCAGCTCAGGTTTAACGTTGGTGGCCCATGGTTAAGTGTTCAGTCTCTACTACAACCTAGTAACAAGCCAAACACTGTTTCTCGAAAGGATAGTAGTTATCTGCAGAGGATGGCACAGCTATGCTCCAAAATTCTAAGGGTCTGCACTTTGATTCAGCAATAGAAGCCTGCCAAATCTCCAAACAGCATATTTATTTATTTTCCATTAACATTTCAAGCATCATTGGATCATCTGGGTCAAGGGGCAGAGTGGCTTGCAAGGTAGCCTTAACCTGTTGCAGAGCCCTCTCTTATTCTAGACCCCACACAAAGATAGTAGCTTTTTGAGTCACTTGATAAAATGGCTGACATAACACTCCACCTTTACTTTGTTGCCTCCAAAATCCAAAGAGACTCACTAGGCACTGTGCCTCCTTTTAGTTGTAGGAGGGGCCAGATGCAACAACTTGTCCTTCACCTTAAAAAGAATTATCTCAATATTTCCCATATCACTGGACCCCTAGAAATTTCACTAAGTTGGAAGAAGTCCAAATTTTTATCAGATTAACTTTCTATCCTGTAGAATGCAAGTGTCTTACTAATAAGTCTAGAGTCATTTATACTTCTTCCTTACTAGGTCCAATCAGCATATTACCAATGTAATGGGCCAGTGTGATGTCTTGTGGAATGGCATGGTGATCAAGGTCCCTGTAGACAAAGTTATGACATTGAACTGGAGAGCTAATATACCTCTGATGTAAGACAGTGTAAGTATATTTCTGGTCTTGCCTGCTGAAGGAAAACTACTTCTGGTGTTCCTTTGAAACACCAGGAAAAGACATTAGCCAGATCAGTAGTTGCATAGCAGGTACCAGGAGATATATTAATTTGCTCAAGGAATAAAACCACATATAGAACAGCAACTGTAATTGTAGTCACCACCTGATTAAGTTTATGATAATCCACTGTTATTCTCCAAGATACATCTGTTTCTGCACAGGCCAAAAAGGTGAGTTGAATGGAAATGTGATGGGGATCACCACCCCTGCATCCTTTGTCATTGATGGTGGAAATAATCTCTGCAATCCCTCCAAGAATATAATATTGCTTTTGGTTAACTGATATTCCTAGATAAAGGAAATTCTAATGGTTTTCACTCAGCTTTGAGTAATAACCCTTACTCAACATATGAGGGATTCAGTTATATCAGTTGCTGAGTATGTCTTTTCCAATTATGCTTTCTGGAACTGTGGAAATCACTACAGGTAGGGCTTGAGAACCCACTGGGCCTACTGTGAGATGGGGCCGAACTAAGACTCCATTAATAATTTGACCTCCATATGCACCGCTCTGATTGGTGGGCCACAGTGATGTATTGGGTTTCTTGGAATTAGTGTCAATTTGGGGTCAGTGTCCAATAATTCCCAAAAACTCATTATTTCCTTTTCCCAAATGAACAGTCACTCTTGTCAAAGGCTATAGATCCCTTTGGAGAAAGCTGGGAGGACAATTAACAGTATAAATTTTTGGCAGTATAGTGAGGTTCTTCCTCAAGGACCTGGCTTCCCTTTCATTAAAGGGGTTTTGGGTTGGTAAACTAACTCAAATATGGGAGTCAGTTGAAGGGCTGTTACTCTCTATTCTGATGATTAAGTTAGACTGCCATTCACTTGACCTAGAATTTTTCTGCTTATACAGATCGAGTAAATGTTCAATAGATTTCCCATCTTCTTCACTCCTAGGGACACCATGTCTAAGTAGCCAATGTCATAAGTCCACATGAGTTAGACTACTCTGATTACTTTGACTCTGCTTTCTATGCTCATCTTGTCTTTGTCAGTTAAGTGCTGTCACTTAGATCCTACCACCACAAGATACAATCAGTCCATTGTAGTTTGTTGTTGTTGTTGTTATGTGCCGTTGAATCAGACCCGACTCATAATGACCCCTCCTTGGGTTTCCGAGGCTGTATCACTACAGAAGTAGATTGCCCAACCTTCCTTTGTAGTTAGGTGTCTTAATTCAGTTAGGTCAGTTCCAACTGTCAAATCTGACTTACATAAAATAGCAATCATAGCAGTCTTCAAGGATGTTAGGACTTCTTTCACAAATTTGTCACTCACCAATGTGATAAAGGGTGTGTCCTTTGAGCATTCCATTGGTGGGTGTGTGGATATAACTTAATAAAGACACTCTAACATGGCAATTTCCTTAAGCTTTTGTATACCTTATTTTAAAATATACAGAGGCAAGTCTGGCATTTCAACTTGATTTAGTGTAGGCCACCACTTAATCCATGCTTCAGTGAACCAATGAAATAAACTATGAAGTACTTTTCTAACCTCTCAAGCTGAAATGTTGAATGAAGAATCTGTGTATAGTGGGCCTATATAAATAAACTCAGATTGATCCTCTTTAACTTCCTTGTATCATTATCCCACACTATTAATAGTCATCCCTACCCATATTCCCCAAGTTTCTGTTGGTATATATTAGAAAAATCAAGCAGAACTTTGGGAATGCAGCATGCCTCCTCCCGGGTCACACTTTGTACTTCACCTCTTGGGTCTTGCTGGGACTTAAGTCTAGTTATAAATCTGGATGCAAAAATGGGTGTTGGAGGTATAGCCAGGGTACATTCAGCAATGTCTTTTAAAACATATGCCTCAGGCAGTAATCCAGGTGCTGCCCCAAGGGATACCTCAGACAAAGAGTCTTCAGGTATAACTGGGTTAATCTTGTCAGATAGGGTTGGAAGGAATAATGGTTTCCTGGGGTGGTGGTGGCTTAGGATAAAAATGTGGAGTAATCTCTTCATATGAGAATAAGAAATCTGGTTCTGTCGGTAGGAGTGATTCAAAGGAATTCAGGGACTCAATGTCCACAACTTCCCTATTATCTGTTTATGTATTGTTTTAGGATCCCATTTCTTCCCAATGATTTTAACTTCAGGTACCATTTGAGGTTGAGAATTTAATTGGTGTTGTAATTCAGCCACTCTTATGATAAGAGTCTGGGTTTTGTTTTAGGACTATTAGGCCTGTTACTACAAAATATAAGGCTTTATTTCATGGCATAAATGTCAACATTCATGTCTTATATGTGGTGCTTGTGCTGTGACTCTGAAGCTGTAAGCCCATCTCTTTCTAGAGAAAGTAAGATGAGGTTTCTTTGTCATTGTTTTTGCTTGGTGTCATCAAGTCAGCTCTGATTCATAGTGACCCTATGTACAAAGAACAAAACACTGCCCAAGCTTGCACCATCCTCACAATTTTTTTCTATGCTTGAAAACATGGTTGTAGCCACTGTGTCAATCCCTCTCATTGAGGATCCTTCCCTTGTTCACTTATCCTCTACTTTACCAAGCATGATATCCTTCTCCAGGAAGTCCCTTCTGACAACATGGCCAAAATACTTGACACAAAGTCTGGCCAGTCTCACTTCTAAGGAGCATTCTGGCTCTACTTCCTCCAAGACAGATTTCTTCACTCTTCTGGCAGTCCAGAGCTGTGGTAGTTAAGGTTGTGTGGCAACTTGATTGGGTCATGATTTTGAGTGGCTTGGCAGCTGGATGTAATTATTCCTTATGATAAGATTTGACATGGTGTAATCATCTCCACAGTGAAATCTGCTGTGAGAAGCTAATCAGTTGAATGGGAGTTGCTTTTGGGATATGGCTTGGTTCCAGTATTTATGGAAGAGCTTTGGAAAAGGTCTCTAGTTTTTGCTCATTCTGAGCTTTTGTGTTTGGCCTGTCATCATCTCCAGTTTCTGGACTTGAACTAGTGACTTTTTGTGTTGCCTTCCAATCTTGGGATTGTTGCCTTTTGCAGCCTGTGACCAACAATCTGCCACTTAGCCTGCTGATCTTGGACTCATCAGCTTCAGCAGACAGCAGCTGCATTAGTCAGGAGAAGCTTTCAGCTTACTCTAACAGGCCTGGAACAACAGGCAGAACTGAATGAACCTCAAGGTCTAGGGGCCTCCATCCAGCCTCTAGAGCTGGCACTCTGAATTTGGACTTTTAGCTTAGTCTTCCCTTGGTAGTCTGAACTCAGACTTCTAGCCTAGTGGTCCCTTAGAGCCTGATGGCAGTGAGTTTCTCTCTCACATATACCTAGAATGTTCCAGCCATTGATTCAATTCTTACTCATAGCTACCACCATTGGGTTTCCTTCCAAGGAAGTTAATCGTTATGGAAGTAGATTGCCTAATTTTCTTTCCATGGAGTAGCTGGTGGGTTTGAACCACCAACCTTCTGGTTAGTAAGCAAATGCCTTAGGTACTGCACCACCAGAGCTCCTTATTTACATATACATATATTTCTTGGTATTTCTATACCAAGAATGTTCCAGGATTAATAATTAATGTTTATGTATATACATATATATGTATATATTTTTTGGTTTATACATGTACTAAAAAAATATTATTTGTCTGTCAGCTTGTTGTGCTGTGGTAGCTTGTGTCTTGCTGTGAGGCTGGAGATTATGCCACTGGTATTTCACATACCAGCAGGGTCACCCTTGGTGGACAGGTTTCAGTGGAGCTTCCAGACTAAGACAGACTCAGAAGAAGGAAGGGGCCATCCACTTCTCAAAGAATTGGCCAGTGAAAACCATATGAATAGCAGTGAAACACTGTCTGATATATTACTGGAAAATTTTATGAATAGCACTGAAACATTGTTTCATATAGTGCCAGAAGATAAATCCCTCACATTGGAAGCCACTCAAAATAAGACTGGAGAAGAGCTGCCAAATCAAAATAGAATCTACCTTAATGATGTCGATGCAATAAAACTTCTGAGACCTCAATTTGCCAATGTGAGATGACTCAAAGTGGGAAGAAACAGCTGCAAACATCTATTCATAATCAGAACATGGAATATATGTAGTTGGAACCTAGGAAAACTGGCAGTTGTCAAAAATGAAATGAAACACATAATGATCAATACCCTAGGCATTAGTAAGCTGAAATGGACTGGTTATGGCCATTTTGAATCAGACAACTGTATGATCTACTATGCCAGGAATGACATTTTGAAGAGGAATGGCATTACATTCATGGTCACAAAAAATGTTTCAAAGATCTATCTTGGAGTACAATGCTGTCAGTGATAGGATAGTTCCCATACACCTACAAAGAACACCAGTTAGTACTATTACTATTATTCAAATTTACACACCAACCACCAAAGACAAAAATGAGGAAATTGAAGATTTTTACCAACTTCTAAAGTCTGATATTGACCAAACATGCCATCAAGATGTATTGATTATTACAAGTGACTGGAATGCAAAAGTTGGAAACAAAAAAGAATCCATGGTAGTTGGAAAATTTGGCATTGATGATAGCTATGATGCCAGAGATCACATGATAGAAGTTTGCAAGACCAACAACTTTTTCATCGCAAATACCATTTTCCCACAATACGAATGGCAGCTATACACATGGACTTTGACAGATGGAATACACAGGAATCAGATAGACTACATCTGTGGAATGAAGCAATGGAGAAGATCAATAACTTCAGCCAAATCAAAGCTGTGGAATGGACCATAAATTGCTCCTATGCAAGTTTAACTTCAAGCTGAAGACAATTAAATCAAATCCTCAAGAGCCAAAATATGACCTTGATTATATCCCACCTGAATTTAGAGATGAACTGAAAAATAGATTTGACACATTGAACACCAATGACTGAAAATCAGATGAATTGTGGGATGACATCAAGAACATCATAAATGAAGGAAGTGAAAGGTCATTAAAAAGAGAGGAGTAAGATTCGAAATGAAGTCTCATCAGTAATCACCACACTATTTCACTCTAACATCTTAGTGCTTGAAAAACTAGGTACAGGGGTTTGAATTAGGGATTCTGGTGCTCTGAACAGATCACTGAGTCAGTGTACCAAACTCAGAGAAGTAGAATTAGAGAGGAGAAAGGTATAGGGGAAAAAAAATAAGGAGAAATATCCTGCAGAGCACTGACAGGCAGCTGAGAAAG